ATCATTTCTGAACTAACCCAAAGATAACCACCCCGAACATTCTGGTAGATGTTCTTTCAAGGAGCACAGCATTTAGAGATGTGTGGGTGCTGAGATGAGATGTTCTGGATTCAATTACCTTCAGCACCCTTGGTTGGGCAAGTTTGTTTGGACAAATGACTTAATCTCACAGAATCTGTTTTTTTCTTGCCCAGTAAAATACAGACAGAAACAGTTCCACTACCTCCTAGGGTCTGGAGAGGATTAAATAAGGTGACATCTGCAAAATGCTTAGAACAAAGCCTGGCACATAGTAGGTATGCAAGCAGTGTTACTTTTTTCTACGCAAATAGACACACATATTTCTTTTCCGCTAAATGGTTTTATATTATAGTTTCATAGTCTGCTTTACCACTTAGGAATGCATTAACAAACATCTTCCCATGTTAATATTTTTTTCCTGCATACACAGGGTCCTTGCAATAAAGCTGCTGCAGGTGTCTGCAGTGTGAGCTGCCACACTTGTACAGCACCTGTGCTCGATGCTCTGAGCACAGCAAGAGAAATAAGGAATCAGCAACTGAAGCAAAGTGAAGGCAAACGTCCTCAGAATGGCCAGAAGCTGATGACGTCGTCGCCTGGTAGCTGCAGCCGTAGGTCAGGTCATCTCTGCTGGGAAGGCTGAATGGAGAGGCGAAGACAGGTGAGTGCCACACTCAGAGGGGAAAATGCAGAAAGTAGTGAGCAGAAGCCAAGAGGCTGAGAAGAGACTGAAGAGGCAGCTCATCCACCGTGGCAGACAGGGGCTGGGCCCCAGGCGCAGTGACGAGGCTCCAGGAGCCACAATGCATTCCTGCTGCCGTTCTAGCCACTGTGAGCGGGGCCTGCCTGTGCCCCTGTGCCCCAAGTTTCCAGTCCTGCACGGCCTGGTCAGACAGATGCTGCAACACTGTCATATTCTTCCTCCTCTAACCAAGAGACCTGCAGGTATGTTTACTCCTGCCAACCCAAAAGGGCCTACCTCAGATTTCCGGGGCTGCCCTAGTCATCTCGTCGATAACTGAAATGTTTATTTTGTTAAGTGCTTGCTACATGTTAAGCAATGGGGATTCAACAGTGAGCAGAAAAGGATGGTATCTGGCTACACAGAATGTAAAGTCTAGCACAGAAGACAGTTAAACAAGCAGTATCATTACAGCATGACAGACAACCACGATGCCAGAAGTACAGACCACAAGGGAAATACCAAGGAAGAACAGCGAATGCTCTATCAAAGACTTGATGGAGGAAGGACCTTCAAGTTGAAGGACAAAGTTAGCCAGATGTGCCAGACACTGTGCAATGTTCGCTAAGTACACACTCCCGCCTAATGTGGACTCTATGACCACCAGCCTTGTGAAGTTACAGAGTCTTGACAGAACAACAGTAGACTAGATCAGCATTTCCAAACAGGCCATCCAAGAGTCTTGGCCTCAATTAACAGGAAGGGCCCAGTTTCTTTGGTGGGTTAGTATTTTTCAATCCTGGAAATATTTAGAATGAAATATAGAAATGTTTAAGAGAATCAAAATGGTAAGATATTTCTCTGTTAAGAAGGAGACCAGACATATTTTATGATTTTGTAATGTGTAAAAGAATTTGGCCCCAGGCGCCTGGCTGGCTCAGTCAGGAGAGCATGCGACTCTTGATCTCAAGGTCATGAGTTCTGAGCCCCATGTTGTGCAAGGAAATTACTGAAAAACAAAAAAACAAAAACAAAAACCAAACACCAAAAAAAAAACCCCAAAACCTTGGCCCATTAGATCAGAAACTCAGTTTTGAAAATATAATTGAATAATTTCTTTCTGCCTTGTGTTTTTAAGTTGAAAATCTTAGTAATTTTACATATATTACGAGAATAAGGAATCTAAGACTCACCTCATTTGTGAGTTGATTTTCTTTTTTAAAATATTTATTTACTTGGGGCACCTGGGTGGCTCAGTGGGTTAAGCCTCTGCCTTCAGCTCAGGTCACGATCCCAGGGTCCTGGAATCAAGCCCCGCATCGGGCTCTCTGCTCAACAGGGAGCCTGCCTCCCCCTCTCTCTCTGCCTGACTCTCTGCCTGCTTGTGATCTATGTCTGTCAGATAAATAAATAAAATCTTTTAAAAAAAGAAATTTATCTACTTAAGTAATCTCTACTTAATCCCCCCAAATGTGGGGCTTGAACTCAAAACCCCGAGATCGAGAGTTGCATGCACCACTGACTGAGCCAGCCAGGAGCCCATAAGTTAAATATAGGAGATTCATAGGACATTTTGTTGAAAAGCTTCATTGGGTTTTTATTTTTTAAGTCAGACAACTGAAGTTCTTTAGAAAGCACTTCTATTTAGCTGTATGAATCCAATTTGAAACATCTGAAGCTCTTCAACTAACTGTTCTAGTATTATCCAAAAGTGACTAGTAAAATCTCCTATGTTTATATACAGAACAATCAGAGCTGTAAGCATTATGAAGAAAATTAAGTTTTTGAATGTGTACTTTACAGAAGTCATAACATTTTGAAACCTAAATAAACTCCTGAATAGTGATTTCCACATACAAAAGCCATCCTTCAAGGGCAACTAAAAATATATATACTTGTGTGTGTGTGTGTGTGTGTGTGTGTATATATATATATATATATATATATATATTTATACATATATTATATATATATTTATCTCTACATCATCCTCTCTGATACCAAGTCTTGTACTCTGTTGATGGATGTGGGATCGGAAAAACCATCACCTCTATTTTATTTTGATAGAAGCCCCTGGAATGTTTGTTTCTGTAATGACATTTCACTAATTTTTATTGTTTGTGCAAACATCTGATTTATTCGGTACCGTATTCTGAAGTTGCAAGCAGTTCACAGACATTTATCCTTTCAGTAATGTTGGAATAAAGTACAGGGTGTGGTATGACTGTCCTCTGACTTCCTCAGAGTCGAGCACGGTTTCATTTCAAGCCCAGGACCCCGTGTGGACAGGAGCGAAGGGGGATCCTGAACATCTGAGGACAGGAGCCGTTGTCTGTGCCGCCTGTCACTCCCCTTGGCCCTACTCCCACTGCAGCTTCCCTCTTACCAACTGAAGGGCTGCATGGCATTTCCAGGAACAAAGTGAACAGGGCACCCTACACCCTTTCCTGCCCCTCGCTGCATTTCTACTCCAGTCACCTAGTTCCTTCCATCTTTGCTACACGTGTATAAACACGGTTGACTCAATCGTAATACTCAGAATCCAACAACAGTAATGGCAACTGACGGGAGCTCGCCTGAGACAGGCACCAAATCCGTATGTGCTCCGCAAAGGTAGAGCTGTCAGATCTGCTCCACAACTCCTAAAACCAAGGAGCAAGTTTTGCACAGTCTCTGTAACTTTGCCCTTTCTCTTTGTTCTAGAACCGTCATTCTATTTCAGGTCTTCCGACCACCTTTCTGAATCTACAACTGCCGTGGAAGCTCTTTTAAACATGGCTTTAGGAGCCTTAGATCTTACAAGCGTCAAATGGATCTGAACTCAAGTTACGCAGCTTAGGTCCACCAATGGGCCCTGCCACACGTAACTAGAATAGTCCAGCCTCTGAGATCCTCCAGAAAGGAACAGGCAAAGATTCTGGTGCCCTCAGGCCTAGGAAGGCAGAGCACAGAATCACATCGGCCCCTCCAGGGCACCCCACCCCTGGGGAGCCCCCTTTATCCCAGGTCTGGTGAGAAAGAAGGACACCAGTTCTGGCTACCATGAGAATGCCTCGTGTATCCTCTCTGACCATACCTATCACTCCCTGTGCTCGGGTCATTTCCATCTTCAGCACTTTCCCTGTTCCATCCGTTGCCCCACCTGTCACAGAAGCATGTACCAATTACTGCTGTCCACCTAGCTGTGTAATGGGAACACACAGGGAGGGTTCCAACTACAACACATACTTTTTGCTCTCAGAGATCATACCCTAGTTATGGACGCCAGATATATGATAAAATGATAGGAGTGCGAGCCAACACAAGTCTGCGGGAGTTCAGAGCGAGGGAAGAATTCCTTAAGTATTCCAAGGGTAAGATTAGTCTCAGGGGACTTCAGCAAGGGCTGAACCCAAAAGAAATGAAGGATTTAGACTTGTTCTTAGGCCTGTTTTATATATCCTTGGAATCAGTTTTAAATTCCCTCTGGAACAAAGAAAAGCACTAGCCATGTGGTAAGGGCAAGTCAATGGGGTGAGAACACATACACCACCAGGTTAGGAGACTTCTGTGAAATAACATAAGAAGAGCATTGCCACAGGGGGCTTTGGGGGAATGTTACTCCTTCCTCCTGGTTTTGAACTGCCATCTATTTCTCGGTTTCCCCAATCAAACCACAAGCTCTTGAAGTAAGGGAACGAAGACCTTGCCTCTTTCTGAGTACTTCTTCTGGAAGAAGATAGTAAGATATACTGGGCATGGCCCAGGAACTCAGTACCTACATGCCGAGTATCGTGAGGCTAAATAACAAAGAAGATACTATTCTCTCTCTAATGGCACTATTTATCACAGCTTCTGGCCAACAGAACTCCTGCTTCAGCCACTGTTCTGTGCCCTGGACCCAGGAAGCAGAGGGGAACAACGGCCTCTTCCTCCTCCTCCTCATCATTAATGGGAATGAGCCGTTTACATCAATACTCTCATTTCTTAGGGCTGATGAACTATTTGTTCTTGATCTTCTGCCACAGGTAACAGAGGCAATGCTGAAAGAGCTCTATGGGAAATCACAAAACACTGTCTGATATAATCAGATACAGTCACCACTAGAGCCCTCTCCCTGCACAGTGTCTGATAAACATCACCATGTCCCAATCTGATCGGCCCTTTAATCAAGGAAGCACATGGTAACTGTTAAATGCCTTCTTTCTGTGATCATGAGTATGTTTACTCAGTGAGTGGTGATGAATTAAAGAACTACACAGACATGACAGATTCATGATTACAAGGTCCTGCCATGCCCTTTTATCTCTGCGCATACCTCCTCACAGACTTCACGGACTGCTGCCACGCTCGGCTCCTCCTCGGGCTCCATGCCTCCCCCAGGGACAATCCATCGGTCTGGATGGCGACTACTGCTCACGAGTAGCACCTGAAAGTCATAGAAGTCACGTGGACGGTTAAAAAGAAAAAAGGCACATTTGTACAAACTCTAAACAACACGGAAGAGTAAGCACCTGAGACCTATTTTTTGTTTATATATCTCTGGGTCACTTCTTGTAGGGTGGCTTTCGTTTCTAGTGGAAAGAGTAGACAACTCACCTTGTAAAAAGCAGAAAGGCATCTGAACCAGTGGCCTTTATCTCTACCTTTCCTCCGGCTGTCAGTCACTTGTGCTATCTATCCTCTCCTTTGTCCCTTTCCCCAAAGCCCTTTGAACACAGAGTTGAGTAGGACTGGGGAGGAAAAAAGTCACTGATAAGCCTGGAGCGCCGTGAAGGGCTGGTCAGAAGGAAAGAAGTCCTTAGCCCTGGTTGGCATCGTAGTCCCAACACCTTCCCTCCCAGCTCGTCATCCATGTGTCCCAGCTCCTGATCCATCCGATGGCCACAAGCCAATACAACGCACCACCCTAAGTTCTAACTGTGCACTCAGAACCCAACTCCCTCATCTACAGCTAAAGTTGGAAAATTTCATCATGCTTTCAACTGAGATAAAACTAGAATTTTTTTACTACGAAGTTTTATTAAGAAACGAGAAGAAAACCAACAAAACACACACGCACGCACACACAAACACACAAAATCCTGCAGACTATGGTTTACTAAGGCAAAATTAACCAGCATTCTAGTTACGGCAGAAAAAAAAATCCTAGAATGTCCCCAGCTCCTTTTCCTTACCCCTCTTTAGGGCAGTTGGCATTACTCCCAAATTGAAAAGAATCATCTACATAGCTCCCTACACCATCACTTGCTGACGAGGTCTTTTGAGCTTCCCTCCCTATTCTAAATGTATTCACCTTGTGCACTTCACTTCTACTCTGCTGTCATCCTTGTTGCCTGGAAGAAAAAGCTACATTCCCTGTAGCCCCTACAGATTACACCACTGACTTCCGGTGACCTACCTTCTGGTCCTCTCCCATCTCTCCCCTGTGTTTCTGCAAGTATATGGGCCCTTGGAAATTCTACCTTTTTTTTCATCCTTAATCCCTTTTCTTCATGTCATGATAGAGTCTCTTGATGCTCCTCTACAAAATCTGTGATCTGCTGACTCAGAGGGGACTGTGGAGTTAAGAAGGAAATCCATGAATCCACATACAGTCACCAATATATAGTCCATGGATGGAGAAAATAATATCTTTACATTTACAAGTACTTTTTTTTAAGTGCATGTAGTTTCTGTTTTGCACAATTCAGAATAACTTAAAATAATATGAAACCCACAGGAGTTTTGGGGTGGTGTGTAAATGTTTACTCTAAGGGATATTAAAAGTACGATGTAGAACGTTCTATGAAGTTGTTTTTTTTTTTTTTTTAAGATTTATTTATTTGAAAGAGAGATCACAAGTAGGCAAGAGAGGCAGGCAGAGAGGGGGGTGGGAAGCAGGTTCCCTGCTGAGCAGAGAGGCCGATGCAGGGCTCAATCCCAGGACCATGCCATCATGACCTGAGCCGAAGGCAGAGGCTTAACCCATTGAGCCACCCAGGTGCCCCTGAAATTGTTTTTTAAAATAAGAATCCTCGCTGCACTCCCACCTCATACTATATACAAAAAGTAACTCCAAATGGTCCAATGACCTAGATGTAAGAGCTAAAACTATAAAACAGCGATAAATCTGAGGGGCCTGGCTGGCTCAGTCAGTAGAGCATGTGACTCCTGATCATGGGGTCACAAATTTGAGCCTCACTCTGGGGGTAGAGTTTACTTAAAAAAAAAAAAAAAAAAAAATTAAAAAACAAAACAAAACAAAACAAAAAAACAGAGGTAAATCTTCATGACCTTAAATTTCGTAAAATATGCCAAATTCTTGAACATGACACCAAAAGCATGAACAAAAATAAAGATTAGATAAACTGAACCTCATAAAAATTAGAATCTTCTGTGAATTAAAGGACACGACCCAGGGTGTGAAGAAAAACGACTTAGAGAATGGGAGGAAATGTCTGCAAATTATCTATCTGATAAAGGTCTACTGTCTAAAACATGAATATATAAAAATATAAAAACTCTAACGACGACAACAAGAAGACAAGCAGCATTTCCCCAAAGAAGATCTACAAATAGTCAAGGAGCACATTCAAGATGCTCAACATCATCAGTCACTGGGAAAGTGCAAAGTAAAACTGGTCTGAGATACCACTTACACCCACAAGAATGGCTATAATTTTAACCCTTCTGAGGGTTTTTTTTTTTTTAAGATTTTGTTTATTTATTTGTCAGAGAGACAGAGAGAGTACAGGCAGGCAGAGTGGCAGGCAGAAGCAGAGGGAGAAGAAGGCTCTCTGTGGAGCAAGGAGCCCAATGAGGGTCTCGATCCCAGAATGCTGGGATCATGACCTGAGCTGAAGGCAGACGCTTAACGACTGAGCCACCCAGACACCCACGAATGGCTATAATTAAAAAAAAAAAAAAAAAAAAAAAGAACTGGCAAGGATGGAGAAAGATTGGAACCCTCAGACATTGGGTAAAAATGTCAAATAGTTCAAGTGCTGTGGAAAGTTTGTGGTTCCTCAAAAGTTAAATAAAAAACGAACACAAGGGGAGCCTGGGTGGGTCAGTCAGTTAAGTGTCCAACTCTTGATTTTGGCTCGGGTCATGATCTCAGGGTGGTGAGAATGAGCCCCGCATCCAGCTCTGCACTCAGCAGGTAGTCTGCTTGAGGTTCTCTCTCCCTCTCGCTCTGTACCCCCACCCTTGCTCTCTCTCTTAAAAAGAAAAAAAAAATTTACCATATGACTTAACCATCCCACTCGTAGCTATACACCCCAAAGAACCGAAAAGAGGTGCTCAAATACTTATACCCAAATGGTCACAAAAGTATTATTCACTGTAGCCAAAGCGCAGAAACAACTTGAATGTCCATCAATGAATGAATGGCTAACATGGCGTACACATGTGCAGGAAGAGTCCCATAAAAAGAACGAAGCACTGATCCATGCTACATAGTGGATCAACCATGAAAACATCATGCTAAATGAAAGCCAGAGCCCAAATGTCACATGTTGTAAGATCCCACTGATGTGAAATGGGTAGAACGGGTCAATCCACAGAGATAGAAAGCAAACTGCTGGTTGCCAGGGACTGCGAGAAGAGAAAACTGGAAAGTAACTCCTTCATTAGAGTACAGGATTTTGTCTGGAAGTGATCACAGTGTTTTGAAATTGTAGAAAGGTTGCTAAATGCCACTGAATTGGTACTAAACGCCACTGACTTGTTCAGTTCTAAACGGTTCACTTCTAAATGTTCACATGGTAATGTGACATGAACTTAACCTTGATAAAATAAAACTGGTTTTAAGATCACAGTAAATTTTAAAAGCTAAATTCAGGAGTCAGTGTTACTACTTTCTACGTCAGAATCTACACTCCAGGGAAGTGGCCTCCCAGAAAGTCATCCTTAGTTTTACAAACTATTAAATTATAGAGCTGAAATAAGAGAAAAGGGGATTACTGCCACAGTCCTTCCATCTCTGATAATTGTAGCAAATTTTAAATTTTAAAAGAATTCCCTATTGAGTACACTTGTGATGGGCACAGGGTGTTAATATGTAAGTGATGAATCACTAAATTCTACTCCTGAAACCAATATTATACTATATGTTAACTAACTAGAATTCAGATAAAAACTTACCAAGAAATTCCTTACCAAAATAAAAATAAACCCAAACACAATCATGTTTGTTAATTTAAGTTAAACGTTTTTCTAAAAAGTCGTCCAAAGACTCCACATAATGGCATTTAAGTCAACAATCCAATATGCAAGGAAAACTCAAGAAGAAGGAGTAGGAATATGGGTTAATCTTCCGCTGATTTGTTATATAAACAACATGCAGTCTTTCTTCCTAGAGTTCTCCCACTTCTTGGCAAAGTGTTGTGCAGCCATTCCAAACCTAAGCATTTGCTTAAAAGGCTGACTAAGGCCATCCAATTAGGTTATAGACCAAATGAAAGACCTTTACAGGGACAATTCCAAGCCAAAGCAAAGGAAACCTCTAACATAAAGTATAATTTAATTTCTAAATTTCAATCAATGTGAAATATCAATCAGTAAATTTAGGAAGCATTACTACTTTGCACATTCAAAGTATGACTGCGTGAGGTAATACTATGTATAATACCGACACTAGGAAAAACAAGCCTCATTACTTTGTAGTCACACTTCAAAGTAAACACTGTTATGAGTAAACAATTCTCCTGGCTAAGTTTCCTTGACAACCCACTGCAAATTTACTGCAAAAAAACAAAAACATTCTTCACTTTAGCCGGAGGCTTTACTCCTTCTATCTTATAAAACACTAAGTGGTGTTTCTGGTCAGTAAATTCTGATTCTGAAGCTTGATTTTTAAATACAAAATTATCTGAAAAGAAATTAAATGGAAAAGCTCCTAAATCTGAAAATGATATACTAACAGAAAAAAAGCCCCACAGAACTTGTTATTTATTCAACAAACATTCATTAAGCATCATCATAAACCAGGAATGACTGCTGCAGATTAAACCTCTGCAATTTTAAGGCAGATCAGAGTGGGGGACTGGATGACCAGGTATTAGACCTTTCATGAAACTCTTATCACCAAGACAGGTGTTATCTGTACAGAGGTAGATAAATGTACCCATAGAACACATCACACCCAACTCCTGGATTTATAATACAGGTGGTCCTACGGAGCAGGGAGAAATCAACAGGTAGGGGAGGGACAAGTTACCATCCACCTGGACACCGAAGAAAATCATTATATTGATGAGGGACACACGCATGCAAGAAAAGACTAACAAGATCTGTGGGAATAATAAACCTAATGGGGGAAGATTTACATAAAGGGTTTAATTAAGCTTGGAACAGTAATGTTTTATTCTTAAGCATTATTAAAGCAATTTAAAAAATCTTAATATAGGGGGCCTGGGTGGCTCAGTGGGTTAAAGCCTCTGCTTT